GTCTCTCCCTATCTAGCCTCCGCTGTCCCTTATTCACTGTGAGTGAATCTATCCAAAAAATGAATCGTTTTTAAACCTACAATAAAATTGGAATAAGAAACATGAAATACTTTTAAGGAAAAAAATGGTATTCAAAAGTAATGAAACAAAAGGAAGGGTAAAATATACAGCTCAATCAAGTAAGCATTTTTTGGCAGAACTTTTTCATCCAGTTGGTCATCACTAAATCATTCAGAAGGTTGGCAGAATATTTTCCAACCCTCATTGCCACAGTGGAATTACATTTTGTCTTTTCCTAAAACCAGGTGTTTTTTTTTTTTCCCTACAAATGTAAAATTTCCAATAAAAGCTAACACAGGGTTCTGACTTTAATTCTGCAGTATGAGAAATTCTAAAAACTTAAGAACAAAAGAAACATATTAACTTGAGTTTTTCAATGTAGGACAGAAACATAATTTCTTCACTAAACAATCTATTTCTAAATAAACTCTAACCTAGTTCTTAAAATCCTATATAGTAGCTGTTGAGAGAAATGACAAATATTGTACTTTAATTTTTAGAAATACTGTTCTGTATAATGTAATTTCAGTCTCCAAAGACTCCTGTGGGCTTAGAAAGTACACTGCTCACTCTATGATATACACCGTACTCACTACTTAAAATAATTGGATTTTATTTTTAAAATATAACTTTGGAGTAAACCTCATGTCCCTAAAGATGTTTTCTATTTTGTACCAATATGTGAAATGTCTCATTTCTCTTGAAATTCATTTTATAGCAGAAGAGTATCATACTGAATCAAAAGTTTCTCTAGGATGATTCACATTTTTCTTGCCAACTATTATGACCGGATTTAGATTGTTAGGCTATATGTATAAGACACTGCAGGATACCAGTTCCAGGTTTGTACTCCTGTATAACAAACTACCCCAAAATTGAGCAGCTTAAAACAATCATTTATTATTTTCTCTTATAGTTCTGGAGGCTGATGGGTTCAGCTGGGTGTTCCTTGTTTAACGTAACTCATAAAACTGTAGGCAAATCATGACCATAGCTGGAGTCACCTGAAGGCTTCTTTACTCATATATCTGGTGCCCAGGCTGAGATATGGCAAGAAGAGCTAGGGGCGGATCTGGCCTGTTTTTTCTCCTGATCTTCCCCACCTTTCCCTCATGTGGCTTCTCTAAATGGTTAGCTTGGGCTCCTGGTTTTAGGAAAAGACAAAATGTAATTCCACTGTGGCAATGAGGGTTGGAAAATATTCTGCCAACCTTCTGAATGATTTAGTGATGACCAACTGGATGAAAAAGTCCTGGTACTCTCGGGGTAGTTAGACTTCTTATATGGTCGCTGACTTCTCTCAAGAAAACATTCCAAGTTGCCTGAATGGAAACTGCAAGGCTTTTGATAAGCCAGACTCAGAAGTCTCAGAAGGTTACTCTGTTGCATTCTATTGGTCAAGCATGTCACTAAGCTCAAGAGGACCGGACTTAGATCCCACCTCTCAAAGGGAAGAGTTACAAAGATATTGTGGCCATCTTCAATTTACCACAATACCTGTTCAAAAATGGAAGATTGCCAAATTTCTTTGAACTTTTTCTTCGCTCCATAGTGAATTTCAAGAGATTGAGATTAGTTTAAAACTCCTAAACTCAGGGCATGTTAGTTATTTAACTAATTTTATTAATTAGTTACTAATTAGCAATTAAGAAAAACAATATGGAAACGAATATGACATTTTCCCTAGTGCTCAGTTTGCTTTATGACAACAATACTTTTAAATAATTATCAAGAATGTGTTCTGCGGGTGGTATCTAGCCATTAATAAAAAAGTGAGTAATCATGGAAGGAATAAGGGATCTCTTCAACTTTCTTTTCTTTCGTGGGCTTGATCCCAGGACCATGAGATCATAACCTGAGCCCAAGTCGAAGCTTAACCTACTGAGCCATCCAGGTTCTCTTCTCATCAACTTTCAGTCACATTCTTATTTACCTTCTAAATTATCAGGAGCATCAGAAAGCTGTAGAGTGCATTTCTGAGGATATTAGCATTTCCCGAATTATGCCAACTGCTACATCACCATCAAGGGGAACCACTCTGCTTCCCAGACTCTAAGTAGCATTGACTGGGGCCACTCCCTGATATTCAGCTGTCACTTGGACTGAGCTGGGGGGTCCAAGATAGCTTCACTCACATGCCTGACACCTGAGTTGACCTCCACCTCCTTTTGGTGGACTCCTGGGGATTCTCCAGGAAGCCTCTCCAGCAGAGTAGTCAAACTTCTTACATGAATACTCAGGGTTCCAAGGGCAAATGTTCCAAAAGACAGGAAAGGAAGCTGCCAGTTTAAGACACGGTCAGGACACTGGCACAGCATCACTTATAACAAATTGTCTTGGTCAAAACAGTCAGAGAGGGGTGCCTGGGTGGCTCAGTTGGTTAAGCGACTGCCTTTGGCTCAGGTCATGATCCTGGAGTCCCGGGATCCAAGTCCCACATCGGGCTCCCTGCTCAGCGGGGGGTCTGCTTCTCCCTCTGACCCTCTTCCCTCTCGTGCTCTCTGTCTCTCATTCTCTCTCTCAAATAAATAAAATAAAACAGTCAGAGAGTCCACCTACATTTGGCGAGAGAAGGCACAAACTCTTTATCTTGATAAAAAGGATTTGCAGCTATCTTTAATTTGTCCCAGGGCCCATGGGGAGACTGACAGTTCTGAGGTCGTATGCTAGACTCTATCCTGTAGTTCTCTTTGGAGTTAGCTGAAAGCCAGATACACAGAGGAGACTCAAATAATGTGAACTAGAAGTTACAGTGAACCAAATATACAGGGGATATTGAGTAAGGAAAGGGTTAACGTTTAGGGCAAGGAGAGACTGGAGGGTGGGGGCCAGGGGAGCGGGCTGTGTTGCTGACTAGGCTCTGAAACTATTCCTGCCAGGCAGAAGCACTAAGACAGAGTGAACAAGAGATAAAGGAGTAGACCAGACCACCTGGCCCTGGATGTTAGGGAGTATTTTTCTTTGGTGGCTACATTATAATCACAGAAAATTACCAGACCAAAGAAGTAAGTTATTAAGGGTGTGGTGTTATCAACAGTCCCTGCTCAAACCAAGATGGCACAAGAATCTTAAGGCAACAAGCTTCTGAGTCACGTTTTCGATAAGAGACTGGCCCTAAAATCCCTCAGTGGCAACCCATTTGGGACTTCTCTCACTCTAGAGAGCTTTCACTTTCCTTTCTGTTCTCACCTTCACTTAATAAACTTTCACTTCTGATCACCCTTTTGTGTCCATGAGATTCATTCTTTGACTCTGTGAGACAAGAACCCTGCAATCTTGCAAAAATATTATTTACATTAGACTGAAAAGGACAATCCAGAAATACTAAATGTGAAAAGGTTTCCCATTTATAGTTAAATCAAAATCCAATACATAAAAGCCTTGAGAGACATTTAAGAAAACTTAATGTCGTGTACCCTCTATTAGGGGGAGAGCACCAATTATAACGCATTACATGCATTTCTACTTAATCTGAAGTTACTTGTAGAAATGAAACTTTTAATTTTTTTAAAGTGGGTTGGAGATGGAGAAGCATGACTTTTCTCTTTCAAAAGCTAAATAAGATTAAAGCATATATACCCAATTTTCAAAGCAGGACTTCGTTTATTGCTGCTGTATAAATGAGCCATCTGAGGCAATATATGCTCTCCCACAGATGAGTAACATAAAACTTAGGTTAGCAGGGCCCTTCACAATCTAATACCACTTTCCCAGCCTTATGTATCACTGGTTTCTTCCCAATTCCCACTAGTCAAAGATCACCAGGAACACACTTATAATTAAACAAGCTGGGCTTATTACTCACTGCATTAAGAGAAACCAAATACCATGAGGAACCATGGGCATCTCAGCAAAAAAGATGCCAACACTTACAAGATTTGGGCTTGTTTTCTGTTACTTTGTCTATTTTCTAAATTTCACTTGGAAGAAAGACTAATCCAGGGTTAAGGTGGTAATTGGTAAAGAGGCAGAACTCATATTAGACTGGATATGGTGATATTTGGTCATGTTTATTACTTGACAATGTTCATGTTTTGTCTATGTTAAGAGTTGATAAAGGAGTGACCTTACTTTTTTATATTTTTTTACTTTTTTTTTAAGATTTTATTTATTTGACAGACGCAGCGAGAGAGGAAACACAAGCAGGGGGGAGTGGGAGAGGGAGAAGCAGAACAGAGAGTCCGACATGGGGCTCCATCCCAGGACCCCGGGATCATGACCTGAGACGAAGGCAGATGCTTAATGACTGAGCCACCCAGACACCAGACACCGGATCTTACTCTTTTCTTGATCCTTCGCTGACACAGAGTAACTTTTGTCTGATGCTGATGTTCTGTGAAATTCTTTACATACACAACACCAATTCCCAGTCCAGGCTAACTCCAGATGTAAGAGACTGCTTTTCTCTTTCACACTCCGAATATGTCATACCCATACCGGCCTTGAGTTTGCTCTAATTCTGATCTATTCAGTGACCTATACATCCTTTGTAGTGCTTATTTTTTGGTTAGTTGCGTTTATGCTTTGTTTCCTCGGATGAGATCACAGCATACGTCTCTCTCAGCGCTGGCAGAGTACTGCAAATTACAGATAAACAGGATCGCCAAAAAAGAAAAGGGAAAACCTTATTTTTGTGTTTCATAAACTCGGTGAAACTGCGTCACTAAATTCAGTAAAATCGTCTGGAATCCGGTCCCAAAAATCCTGACAAGAATTCAGGTTTGAATAAATCATTGTGGGTAACAAACGCGGTAGGTTCTTGTCCTTCCGGCCCCATACCACACACCCCCCGCCACCGCTCCCCTCGCACCCCCCTCCACTGTCCAGCTCGCGGGTCAGACTACATTTCCCATAACCCTTCAGAGCCGACAAGGCCGTGTGACGTTCTAAACTACAATTCCCACAATCCTCGGGCCCCTCCATCTTTTCTCATTTTCCGCGGTCGCTCCCCATTTCCCATCTTTCCTTTCGGCTCCTACACGCCGAGGAACAAGGTCGTGAGAAGGGGAGGACTTGGTGGTGCTGCCATTTCTACGGTCTTAGGGCTCTGCCCCTTTCGCAGAACTTCCAACAGCGCCATGTTGGGACAGAGCGTCCGGAGGTTCACAACCTCTGTGGTCCGTAGGAGCCACTATGAGGAAGGCCCAGGGAAGGTTAGTGTGTAAAGGGCCCAGCTTTGTTGGGGGAGGGGACGCTTGGCTGCGACTAGCTGTACTCCCAAGACGTCCTGTGGACCGTGGAGAGGAAGATGGGAAGCCGAAAATGTGAGCTGGGTCGTCGAGTAGCATTTTAGTTCCCCCTGGAACCAGGGCCAGAGCTCAGGACCCTGGCAGCGCGCCGTTGCTGTGGAAAGGAATGAGTAGGAAGAGCCGTAGGCCCTACCTCGCCCTAGTGCTCCCCTCTGCGCCCTCCAAGATCTGGAGGGTCCTTGAGGCCAAGGCTGCAGATACTTGCCGCGTAGATCCGAACTAGAGGTCACCGGACTCGGAGTGAAGGTCGTTGGAAACAAGTGAGGATGTGAGGCCTATAGCTGTGGGTCGAGTCTTCTCTAACTAGTTGACTGAATAAGAAGTATTAAACCTCTTCAGTTGAGGTTGGGTTTAGCTTCAGGTATAAATAGATTAAATAGGGTAATTAGTAGTAAGTACTCCAGTGGCCTAGGCCTAGTAGTAACGGGCTGAGAAAAGGTTTACATGGTAGGGCTTCTTGGTTGTGGAAAAGTCAAACTTCGTAATGCAATTGACATTGCCGTGTGCTTTACTCGGTGGCTAGTTTTTAACAAATCGTAAACTAGAACAGTGCATTCTATTTATAACTCCTTTGGAGGATAAAATTTTTCGATTTTCTAAAGTAAAACTTAGTACTGTGTTACACTTGACTTTACTGAGGCTGGTGCTCAGTAAAGCCAGGTACTTTTTACCATACAGTCTTATGTGTGATGAAGGTCATGGGATGTAAAACATAATGTTTAAAAAGATGGTATGATATGTGGCCTACATAACCTAATTATGTAAAAAAAAAATATCTAGCATCCACTGTGTACTTATATATCTATAAAATCAGATGATTTTGAAGTTCCATTTTTGTTGCTTGCTTTTTTCCCCCAACAGAATTTGCCATTTTCAGTGGAAAACAAGTGGCGATTACTACTTATGATGACTTTGTACTTTGGATCTGGATTTGCTGCACCTTTTTTTATAGTAAGACATCAGCTGCTTAAGAAATAAGGATGTTTTAATTAATCCATCAAACAGGTAATTAATGGATTTCTAATCTTCCCAAAGCAGTGTTTTCTCTTACATTTCTTTCTTCCTCCCCTCTCCCACCCCCAGTCACACAGTGTGTAGGGCTAATTCCTGAAGTTAGTGTAGATGTGGCATTGGTGGAGACAGGTTGATAAACCTATAAACAGATGTTCGTCTGAAAACCAGTTTTTATTGGATACTACTGTTTGTCAGGCGCACTTCACATTAATAATCTCATTTCGTTACCTAGCAAGCCTGTGAGGTGGGTGACTTAACCCAATCTAAGACAAAAAGATGTTAAGTTGCCCAATATCCCATAGCTAGTGATGGTGGACCAGAATTTTTACCCAGTCTTGTTCCAGAGTTCACACTCCTAACCATACAGAGCCCTGGTTAGACTGTCTTGAGGGCAGTATACGTTGTATATGCTGAAACCAATCTTGTGTGTTGGAAGGTTAGCAGATACTTTGTGTGAGAAGAAAAGATGTATTTAGCTTAATTGTAATCAGAATTTTCCTCAAAGCAACATTACGGGGAGATCTGTGGGCTGATTAGGATAAATTCCAAAAATACCTTTAGGAAGAAAAGACTTTGTCTTAATACATAAGGGAAATGATTTACCCAAATGATCCACAATGGAAAGACATGGTGCATATGATGAAGCAAATCAGTATGAATAAAGTCATGATACTGTAAACGCTTTCTGATGTACTAGTCATAAACTGATAAAGAGTATGTTAATGAAACTGATTTCTTTTTAATGAATGAGACATTTTAAATGCCAATAACTTTTTGTCTTTATTTGCAGATGTGAAAAGGAACATTTTAAGAGGTGCAGTCTCTTTGAAAAATGGATCAAACTCTTGTTTTCAACATACTCAATATGTTTGTAAATAAACTTATGGCATGCATCCTTAATGCCTCTTCTCTGAAACATGGAATGTAATAGTTGTGCTTACTTTTTTATTTGGGAAATATTCCAAGATTAGTTTGTTTGGTCAAATTAGTGTGTGATTTAGTCTTTTTCTTGTTTTTAGATTTTGAGGTTTTATTTAATTTTTGATACTAGGTCAGGACCTTGTTGGTAATTTATGTTATTAAAAATGCAAACTTGACTTTGTTGTCCCATAGTAATTTTTTTAATTGAAAAGAAGTGTACTTTTAGTACACTTTGAAGCAGTGAAATTGTTTTTCTTCGTAAGTGATAATTAATCATGAGGAAACCAGTAGTGTATACAGTGAAGTCCAAGAGCTTTTTTTCCCCCTCCAGATCTGTGATCTAAAACTAAAATTTTGCCTTGATAAATTTGCTCTTGACCAATACTAGTCTTGTTTAGACTAAATAAAAGTAGAATATATGAAATGAAGTAGCATGTAAGACAGAATATGGAAATATTCCAAGTTTATTCTGGAATTTTAGTAGAAATGGACTAAAAGATGGTTCTGATTAGTAATTGTATCTGAATCAAATTTATATTATGTATAGTGAAATACTGCTAGCTACATAAAGTGTTATGACTTAGTTCCTAGGGCTTTGTATTGGGGCGGGAAGAAAGGTAGTTGCTGAATGTTTTAGTCCTAGTTTGGTCACTTTGGGAATACCACACTGATGTTAGAAGAACGGTGTAAAGCAGAGGTGGTAAACTGGTGGTCCGTTTGAGTGCTAGACTTTTTGGTGATTAGGGGAGTTGTAGTTTTTAAACCAATATTTAAAAACTAGAATAGTTACAAGAAAGTCTCTGGATTCTTGAAAAGTTGCTCTGGGTGGTTCTATATCCTTTCATAGAACAAAACCACTGCCTAAATTAGTCTTCACCATAACATTAGATTTCCTGTGTACTCCTAATGTTAAACTCCTGATTTGCTGGAACCTTAAGAAAAAAAAAAGACACCTTTTTTCTGTTTGTGTGACCGGGCCTATCTTGACAGCCTTCAATAACCATGCAATAACTACTAAAATATGGATATATAATTAAATTTTTATGACTGCCCGGCTTATTCCCTGTACTTGCATGTCGTTTTTTGGGGGTTTTTTTGTTGTTGTTTTTGATTATCCATTGATGCATCAGATGTCATCCTGTGTTTATGGAACATTAAAGCCTTCTACCTTTGGGAAGAAGAAAACGGGTTCAGTGTTCATAAAATGATTTCAAATTCTTGGTTCAAATCTCTGCTATTAAATTACAAACTTAGCTGTCATTGTTTTCTTGGAGGAAATGGGAATAGAACCTATCTTGTATTGTTTTGGATTCAGTAAGCTATATAAAAACATTTTAGTTTCTGGCGAGTCTTAAGTGATTATTTTTCTGAAGTAAAATATATCATGAATCATATGTTACCATTAGCAGCAAGGTCTATGTAGAAAACATCTGATTTATTAGATTTGTCTTCCTCAGTTAAAGTATTCGAGGATTTTACGTGAATGAAGAAAAAAACACTTGTCTGTCCTGGGAGAGGAGCACAAATTGAACCATCATAAAAAGGTTTCAGCTAGCTGGGTCTTAGTGCATAAGTATACTGAGTAGTAAAGGCCAGACAACTGTTTAGTTTCTGTATTTGGGTCTCCAGAGAAACAACCAACCGGGTATGTATATAGACAGATTTATTTTAAGGAATTCGCACATGTGGTTGTGGAGATATGACAGGTCCAAAATGTGATAGAGGTAGTGCCGAAGGCTGGAGACCCAGGGAAGAATTGCTCTTCCAGTCCAAAGCTGTGTGTGGGCAGAATTTGCTCTTCCAGGGGTGCCTGGCTGGCTCAGTCAGTACAGTATGCATGCGACTCTTTGATTTTGGATTGTAAATTTGAGCCCCACGTTGGGTGTAGAGATTACTTAAAAATAGAATCAAAAAAAAAAAATCCTCTTCCAGGGAAGTCAGTCTTTCTGTTAAGGTCTTCCACTGATTGCTTAAGGCTAACTCACATTATGGAGAACAATCAGCTTAACTGAAACTCCTTCAATTTAAATGTTAATTTCTCCAAAACACACCTTCACAGAAATATCCAGAAAAATGTTTGACCAATTAATCTGGACACATGGCTCAGTCAAGTTGACATTAAGTTAACCATGACAGGGATGCCTGGGTGGCTCAGTTGATTATGCATCTGCCTTTGGTTCAGGTCATGATCCCAGGGTCCTAGGATTGAGTCCCACATGCTCTCTGCTCAGCGGGGAGCCTGCTTCTCCCTCTGCCTGCCTCTCCCCCTGCTTGTGCTCTTTCTCTGATAAAATCTTCAAAAAAAAATTAACCATGACAATTTCATACAAGCATGTGATTTAATCCAATGTAATATTTAAAGTGTTGGTTTGGGTTTTTTATTTCTTAAAGATTTTATTTGATAGCAAGAGAGGGAACACAAGCAGGGGGAGTGGGAGAGGGAGAAGCAGGCCTCCCGCGGAGCAGGGAATCCGATGCGGGGCTTAATCCCAGGACCCTGGGATCATGACCTGAGCTGAACGCAGACGCTTAACAACTGAGCTACCCAGGCGCCCCTAGATTGGGTTTTTAAAAGCCACAAGATTGCCATAAAACCAGATTCTCTTGGAAAATTTAAACTGGATGGACTAATATATTCCTGCATGCAATTGAGCTAGTCCAAGTACCTCACACAGGTGTTTCCTTGACTCCAGAATACCTGAATAGGGATTTTAGCAGGGGACCAGAACCCAGGATTTGTTTTTAAGAAAAACCACTATTCTTCCATAATTAAGCTTTGGCCACCCTGAAGGAAAGAAAAATACCCATATTTTGCTACAGAGGCAGAACAGTTACGGGTTCAGGACTAAGGCTTGGATTCCAAGCCAGGCTTTGATCTTGTATCTTCAACAGGAGACAGCCTCAGTTCCTGTTCTGTCAGAGTATCGATCTAGTTGGGAAGATTAAAAATGGAAGTATATCTAAATTTAGGCAATTTCTTAGGCTCCTGCTGTAGAGTACTTACAAGTGAGGTGGAGGAAATAAAGTAGACACTGTTAAAAATTGTCCCAGGTTGATCCCAAAGCCATTCTGCAGTTAAAGGTTGGTGTTTACAGTTACTCAAGCTATAGTTCTAAACAGCTGTCAGCAGGTACTTCAATCTTACCATGTCTGGAAATGCCTGCATGCCTATGGTAAACTGTCACCATCAGTAAAATTCCAGCTCCTTAGCATGTCATTTAGTCATTTCCCTGCAATTTCAGCCTCACCCTGAACATACAGCTCCAGTTTTATGTACCACCCCCAAGTCTTAGTTCAGGTGCCACGTTTTCTGTAAAGCTTTCTCCTGCTGATTCTTCCCCATTAACCCACACACATTACACATAAATCTCCAATACCTTGTAAACAGCTTTATGATTACCTCAGCATGTACTGTAATAACTGATTTCCTTCCCGACCTTTCATACCAGCATATGATCTTTCTGAGACCAAAAAAAACCCAATTACTTATTCATGTATCCTGCATGTATAATTTAGTGAGTGGTCAATGAACATTTATTGAATGGAAGTCAAGAATGATAAAACTAGTTAAAAAAACAAATTCCAGGCCTAATCTACACACCAAAATGGTGTATATCACCGTGTTTTCTGGATAAAAATAAATTTCTCCCCAAATCACTTGCTGAGCTGGTTTCTCCAACCAAATACATATGAAGTAATCCAATTATTGCAGACTAAATGAGAGGAGTTTGTACCAAATGTAACTGAACTATGTCACTGCCCACACTGCTTAGTCCATCTAAGCAGTGTGGGCAGTGCATCTAAGACAAACTGATGAAAATAAGTGTGTGTTGACTTACATTCTAGCTATGGATCTTGTTTCAGACTAGCATTTTGGGAATTAGGAAATATATGGTTTTACTTAACACAAAAAATAGTTCTCAGTGGGTTTAAGGGCCTTCTCTCTTATTCAGCCTGTTATTCTAAGCTCGCTCTTTGTCACCTGATGGCTGCCGTAGTTCCAAGCATCCCATACAGATTTTACAATATCCAGCAAGAAAAATTGAAGTTTCAAGTTATTTTTAAGAGTGAAGAAAGATTGCCTAGAAACCCACGATTCACTGGGCCTGAGGGCCATGTATCCATTACTAAATACAGCACTAGCAAGGGGAATGGCTGGCACCATCGTTCCTAGATTTGAGCAGTTAGGACTTTCTCCCAAGTCTTCTATGCAAAGAGTGGACACAAATACATCTGTTTTCTACAAAAAAGGGAAAAGAAAGTGGCGATTGGTGCGTGAAAGTGCCTGCTGCAACTAGTCTGTATAGTACAGCTTCCAATTTACAATGTTTGACTTAAGTTTTTTTTTTTTAATTGTGCTCATGAAAAGTGATAGGAATTCGGTAGAAGTAGAATACTTCCAAGTTTTGAATTTTGATCTTTTCCTGGGCTAGTGATAAGCAGTAGGATACTATCTTGTGATGCTGGGCAGCAGCTGTGAGCCACAATTCCCAGTCAGCCACGCAGTCACCAGGATAAACAAATGATAAACTTCTAAGAACCATACTGTTTTTCACTTTCAGTACAGTATTCAATGACTGACATCAGATATTCAACACTTTATTATAAAAAAAAGGCTTTATGTTAGATGATTTTGCCCAGTGTAGGCTAATACCAGTGTTCTGAGCATGTTTGAGGTATGCGAGGCTAAGCTATGATGTTCAGTAGGTTAGGTGTATTAAATGCGTTTTCAACTTAATGATGTTTTCTTTTTTTTTAAAGATTTATTTGATCCAGCGAGTGAGGGAACACAAGCAGGGGGAGTGGGAGAGGGAGAAGCAGGCTTCCCGCCAAGCAGGGAGTCCTATGTGGGGCTTGATCCCAGGACCCTGGGATCGTGACCTGAGCTAAAGGCAGACGCTTAACAACGACTGAGCCACCCAGGCGCCCGTTAATATTTTCTACTTAAAATGGGTTTATCAGGATGTAACCCCATCATAAGGAAGATCTGTATACTGAGAAAAGGACCCAAATGTCAAAATGTAATAAGCTTTTTATTTTAGTGTATCCAATAAATAAAGATCTTTAGATTATAACCAGATAAAATGATTATAGAAGAGAGGAGAAATAAACCAGATAAAATGATTATAGAAGAGAGGAGAAATAGTGTTGTGGGTTATTTTTTTCTATCTCTTTTGAGTAGAAAATAATTTATCTGTAGTAAATAGTGGAGGCTTCTACATGATTTATACTCCCTCTCATCAAAACTTCTAAAAAATTTTGGGGCTCCTGAGTGGCTCAGTTGGTTAAAGCATCTACCTTCGGCTCAGGTCATGATCCCAGAGTCTCAGGATCTGGTCCTGCATAGGGCTCCTTGCTCGGTGGGGAGTCTGCTACTCCCTTTGACCCTCACCCCTCTCATGCATTCTCTTTCTCAAATAAATAAATAAAATCTTTAAAATAAATAAAATACTGTTGGGGTGCCTGGGTGGCTCAGTTGGTTAAGCGTCTGCCTTCGGCCCAGGTCATGATCCTAGGGCCCTGGGATCAAGCCCCGAATCAGGCTCCCTACTCAGCAGGGAGTCTGCTTCTCCCTCTCCCTCTGCATCTCCCCTGGCTTGTGTGCTCTCTCTCTCTCTCTCTCACTCACTCTTTCAAATAAATAAAATCTGTAAGAAAAATTTTATCCATTATGAAATATTCGTTCTCCCGGCTACTGAAATTTTATGGATCAGAAGGAATATAGCCACTTTTTATATATTTAACATTAATACAATGAAGATTTTTTAGTGAACACATAATTCAAATAATTTATAGCTGATTTTGGACAGACTCTTTGAAATCATATTTGAATATGGATACAAGCTGTTTGGTCTTTTCCTAACCTGGTATAGTAGTCAATCGGGTTTTTCACAAACATGCCAGTTCTTCTATGTGCATGGCAGGATTGAACTCTGTTTCCTTTGCTTTGACAAATGAAAATATGAGCAGAAGTGATCTGTTACTTCTTCATGGAAGCTTAAAAAAGACAGTGAACTATTCGTCAAGTTCCCTTCCTCGTGTTACAGGGATAGAGCCTCCATTAG